GCAGAGGGCAGGGGAGGGGGCAGGTGGCGGAGGGGAGGGGGGTGCAGTGCTGCGGTTGCAGCTGTGAACATGGGCCCTGCGCCTGGGGGCACGCACAACCACTTTGCCTCGACCGCTCCACTTCGCGACGGCTGCAGAACAATATTGAGACAGACCCAGTCTGCAGCAGCGCCTGCCCGCTAGCACTGCCGCGGAGCTTGCCCCAGGAGTGGGTGCGTATGCAGCCACTGCACGCGGTGCGCCGTGGCTGACAGGACGCGGATCAGCATCGGCAAGTGCTGCTGCAGCTGCTGCAGCTGCTGCTGCTGCTGATGTGCGACCACCCGCGCCTCACGACCAGCGCTGCCGAGGCCCTGATGACGCGCCGCCGTTAGACCCGCCACGATGCCCCAACCAGCCGCGGCCGGCCGGCCGCCAGGGCCCGTCCCCTGCCCTGCTCGCTGCCCCGCCCTCGGCCGCCGCCGCCCCTGCTTGGTGAGTTGCCCTGGCTCCCGCCCCTCCAACAAACAGCCTGCGCTCTCCCCATAACCACGGGCCCGCCGCGCACGCAGGGCCCGGCCGCGCCCGCAGGGCCGCCTCGCCCCGCCACCCCGCACGACAGGGAACGTTGACTCACCCCGTGCTGCCCTCCTCTGCGGCAGGGATGTCCCGCTGGATAAGGGCCCAGGGGATCTGAGTCATCAGGCCCGCGCCGTCACCCGAATCGTCGTCCGCAGAGCATGCGCCGCGGTGCTCCATGCAGCCCAGCGCGCGCAGCGCCTGGGGGGGGGGGGAGGTGGTTTCAGCTGGGGGGCTGCAGCCGGCATCGCCCGTCAAGGTGGGCAAGCGGGCGTGAGAGTGCGACCAGGATGGCGACTCTCCGTTCGATGCTGCTACGCGGCAGAGTCATGTTCGCCGTGCCTGATTACATTGGGTGCAGGAGGATTGTTAGCTGCTCTTGACTGAAACCCTAGGGGATATGAAGCAAGCCGCAGGCGGGCGGGCCGCCCCCCCCGCCCCCCCCCCCCGCTCCAGGGGCTGGGCGTGCCTCCCCTACCTGGGAGACGATGGTGTGGCTCTTGATGCCCTTCAGGTTGGCAATGAAGCCCACCTGCGGTACAGCGCGCGCGGCACGCAACGCCTGGCTGTGAGCGGCGTCCAGCGCAGCTGCAGCAGCGCAGCGGACCAGCGCGGCGGCCAGCGAAGCGGTGGACAGCGGCGCGACATATACGAACTTGGGCCCCAATGTGCGCCAACGATGCCTCACCCCGCATGCATCCCGCTCCTTGAGGATGGTCTCGAGATCGGCGACCAGGTTTGCCTCATTAGGGACATAGGCCGGCATCGACTCAGCCTCAAAAGGCTCCGCGACATCCGGATTGATGGTGTGTGCGGCTGCGAGCCTGGCAGCCTGGCCATAGGTACGCCTGGCAACGGGGACTGCTGCCCCAGTCGCCCTCACACCGGTGGCGCCCGCCTGCAGTGCGTGGGGGGCGCAACTGTCTACTGCATATGCATTGTCACACCAGGCAGACTCATGGCACCCCCACGCCAGCACGGGGGAGCCCAGGTCGGGCCGGCACACCAGTGGGCGTGCGGCATTCACCCACACAGCACGTGCAGGCACGAGGACGCTAGGCTAGCGAATTGCTCGCTCACCGAGTTGTTGATCGATCGCTTAGCATGCCTGGCCGCGCCGCGGGACACAGAGGGCGCGGCGAGCAGAGGCCGAGCTGCGTTCTGCTGGGCAGGGGTGCCCGTAAGCCTGCGCGTCTCCATGGCGCCGATATCGGAATGTAAGGCCTTTTCAGGGCCTCGCTTGCTCTCATACGCGCCGCTGCGCACCTGGGACGCTTGGAAAACGCGCAGGCGCCGCGGGCAGCAATGAAAGTGTGAAAACGGCGACCCAGCATGCATGCCGAACGTGGCGCAAGCAGGCGAGCGGCAGGCCATAATTGTCGAGTTGGGCTTTTTCTAGCAAAACAAACATCATGTAGAGGGGCGCGGGGTTCCAGTGGCTGGGAGGAATGAGGACGTGACTGCCTTGATGACTGCACCTCGCGCGCAGGGTAGGCCGGCAAATTTCACCTGCTATGCATGACGGTGGGGTGACACTGCAGTTGAGGAACAAACACCAGTGTGTTCTTGATAGATGGTTGTGATTTGAAACAAAAGTCGGTTTTAGCATGCTATGAGCCGGACGACCTGCTTAGTTGAGTACAGGCAGTGCGAGCCTGCACCCCTGAGGGTGGAGTCGGTCAGGAGCAGATATACATCATATCAATCAGGCTGAGGGTCTCTTGGGCTACCAGGACTGCTCCCTGTTTTTCGACACCTAATTGGTATCACTGTTATTAGAGCACCTGCTCAGCAGGTGCCCCTGGGTGACTGCGCCTGCGAAGGTGTCGGGCTTGCTGTATGCGCCACTCCCACCACATTGAAGGTGACCCTCATGAAGGGTCAACACCGAAACGACCGCCTGGTGACGGCAATCCAAACAGCAACAATGCGGACATTTGGCAAAACAACCCATTTCTGGAGATACGGCAACACTTCATGAAGTTACACGCACTCCGTTTGCAGTAAAGGCTGCACACAGCACACACCCAAGAGACGTGTCTAGCCTTCGGCCCTGGGCCCGCTTCAACTTGGTGGCTGTCCAACAAACTTTATGCATTGCTCTTGTTACACAAACATAATAATTCGGTATGCGCCCAGTCACAGACTTCAGGGTTCTGGCATACACACAGGTACTTGCTTGGTTGCTAAAGCTGCGGCTGCGGCAAACCCTGGGCCCGAGAAGCCGCCATCATTCAAACCGTGAGCACCACAATCCAACCGCCCCTAAACCTCAAAGTTTAGTCGTTCGGGGCGGAGGGAGGTAGCCTGGCACCACGCGCAAACGCTGGGACCTTCGCACAACACGCGAGTGATGAGTGCGTGATCAAGGCAAGGCAGCGACAGCGGCGGCGGCAACGGCGGCCGCAGCAGCGGCAGCAGTGGTGCCGGCGGCAGCAGGGCTGCCGCTGGTAGCTGGGCTGCCGTAGCTGTGTGGGGCAGGCACTTCCTTTGCTTTCATGTCTTTAGTTTTCATGCGCTCTTGTCTCGGTCTCGCATCAATCGTTGCCTCGCGCAGGCCCGGCGGGCGCCCCGGCCTGGCAGGCTGTATCTGAACCTGCACGGATCGTGAGCTCACCCCCCCTCGGCCCAGGCCGCTTTCAAGGTGGGGAGACAGGGCAGGCCAGGGTCTCTCATGTAACGTCATCACATGCATGTATTAAAAAGGCCACCGCCTTCAAGCTCAGGTGTCGTGCACAAACGGCGCCGGGCGCAGGCTGGTGCCAAGTGACCCAATCGTGGGTGCATTAATGCAGTGCGACCATGCCTGATACACGTGACCTGGACGCACGGCTGCATGCAGCGCGCCCGCAACCCGCAGTTGCAGTTACAAGGACTGATCGGATGCGGCGCGCATGGCGGCTCACCCTCACAAAAAAACACCTGCCTTCCTGCAAAACGGTCCGCAAGGGCCAACTCAAGATAAGCGCGCCAACGCGTGGCCAAGTACTTGCCCTCGGGTTTCAGGCCCAAGGCCCGACCTT